ATGGTAACACAGATAAAAGGAGGTCTAACAAACAAACAAACAAAAGTATTTTTTTAACCACTCACTTTTACTCTGGCTAGCAAGTTTATCTGTTTTGTTGCTGTTGTTGCTACTGTTGTGACATTCTTTTGCTGGTATTAAAAAACCCTGTGTTTTCTGTCTTCCAATGTGGACTGAAAACCAAAGGCTCTCTGGGAATCCTCTGGGCTTCAGCACCAGATTAGGGCTTCTGAAGCATAAAGCCTTGTGCACTTAACAGCTACTGGGTTCTCAGCCTCCCCAGAATGAGACAGCCACTGTTGGGGCTACCCAGATAGTACTGTATAAGCCAATCTAACATATTCCCTTTTAATATAAATTCACTCTATTAGCTCCTTTCCACTAGAGAACCCTAATATAGTTACATTACCTGTACATAGCAGAAAAAAAAAAATTTGCCTGAGTCCAAGCCTGCATTCTCTGTCAGTACTTCTCTACCCTTTCAATGCATGACGCTGAGTACATATAAAATAATGTTCAAAAAATATTCTAGAGGAAAAAGAAAACACTATTTACAATCGAAGGTAACAAGCTATGAGTATTCCAGGTCTGGCCCAGCTTCCCCAAGGGTTCATGGGATCAATACTGGAGTATATTGAAGATTCATTAGCAGTACATTAGCTGAGACACTCTGCTGTACATATTCATTTAGCATTTACTAGGCCCTGGCATGTCGCAGGCCTTTAAATATATGTATGGATTATTGACAAAGGACAGATCATTATGCCTAAATTGCCCACAGAGGCAGACAGAAGAACAAACAAGAGCTGAAGACATGCAAAGTATATTTGTCGGATAAGCCAGTTAGGACCTTGAATTTCTTTAAAGGTCATTCACAAAACAATTTTTCTCAATCTTTAGTGGACATCAGCTTCATGTGGAAGGTTCTGAATCACAAACTATAGGGCCCTGTCCCCAGATCTTGAAATGTATAGTCACACCTCATGAGCAAAAATATTTTCTTCTTTGGTAATAAGCTGAACAAGCTCAACCCTATGTCATCACCTGCTAAACTGTGGGACAAAAGATAAGCTTTTTAAATAGTCCTAAATGTTCCTTGACTCAGTTTCAACAGAATGTAGCTGACTGTTCATACGGCATGCAAGGGACCACAAATTGCAGCCATTAAATGATCTATGTTGTGCTTAGTGTCCAGTTGAACCAGAAGGCAACTGTCACTAAACCACCGTAAGCTATCTAGATGAGAAGACACCGTGACATGGATTTTTTTTATAACTACCCAGTTCAATTCAATTCTAGTGACTAAGTGATTCAATAACCACGTTCTAAGTAAATGAATATTTTAGTGACTTTTTCACACTTTAATAAAAATTTGAGACTGATGGAGGAAAAAAGGATGGCAGCAGCCACCAGAACCTGCCTCGGAGCTCCAAGGAGTCTGAGACCCATGGAGGCTCCTAAGGATGATGCAGAGGCAGAAAAGGCATCTGGAGAGCCTGAAGTAGCTCTGGATCAACAACAACAACAACAAAAAAAAGGCAAGTCTTATGGGAAGATGCTTATAAACTGGAAAGAAACTTGGCAGAACAGAACCATGCATGGATAATGATGAACCTATACCTTTAGCTGCACTGTCTCCACCAACAGGTTGCAAGCACAAACATCACGCCTGATGAGCCCTTGGGTGGCCAGCACCAACCACAGAGAGATTGCCTAGAGCTCCTGCAGACACAGGTCAGCATTGAACAGAGCCTGCCCTAGGCCCCACATCTGCTCCTGCATGGAACCTGCTGTGAGACAGAAAGCACAGTGCAGCAACACTCACTACCTACAGCCTACAGGCACAACAGTTGTGCCCGGCACCTGGCAAAAAGAGCGGGATGGTATGCAGCAGCCTGAAGCTCCTACAGAAACATGTCATTACTGAATAAGGCCTGTCCTAGGTTTGCTGCCCCCAGCTTGAAGCCACTGTGATTACAGCCTGCTCTGCCTGCCTCGCTGGGAGAGGGAGAGCACAAGGCAGTGGTGTTACCCACAGGCCACAAGCACAAAGGTCAAGCCCAGCAAGCTTCAGGGTGGCTGACATCAAGGAGGTGTGTGGGTGGCAGGAGCTGCAGCAATCTGAAACTTGTATGGAACTTGCCCCTGACACCCTGCCTCGCTGCAATATCACCCTGACTCTGGGCAACAGCAGAATATATGAGACGAGTCTAGGCAATGCTCCAATATTTATGGTGTTTCAGAAACCAGAAAACTTGAACCAGACCAATGACGCCTGGCGATGAATATTTACATGTAATACTCTTTGGGCAAAAAAAAAAATACAGTGTGTGACATACTGCAGCATGCAATGTCAATGGTGGGAAAGAGGTGGGAAAGGTGGAGAAATAGAGCAGTGTGCAATGGTGGTGACAGGTGTGAGAGAAAGCTGCAGTGGACCGAGTAACAAGACTTTGTTGAGCAGGGCTGCAGCCTGGAGCTTGCGCACACTCAGCCCCCAAACGTGCTGCCCAGCCACACTATCGCCCTGGTTTTGAGAAACGGATAGAATATCCAAGATGAGGAATGGTTGGTACATTTTCTAGATTCGACCTCCTCTTTTTTTTTTTTTTTTTTTTTTTTTTTTTTTGAGGGATTTTTTTTTTTTTTTTTTTGAGCACTAATATATATTTCCAGAATTTAAAATTAAATATTACTAAATAAAAATAGCTTTTACTACTAACTGAAAATAATGGCCTCAAACTCACAGAGATCGGCCTGTCTCTGCCTCCCAAGTATTGGGATTAAAGGCATGAGCCACCAATGCCTGGCTGAACCCCATCTTATGGAGAAATTTTCTCAGTTGAGGTTCCTTCCTTTCAGATGACTCTAGCTTGCATAGTGACACCAACCATAATAAAGGTTCTGTTAGAACATTCTCCATATCCTTCCAACAAAATACAGTGAGCCAACACTTTCTGTACCTCTTTAGAATATTTTAACTGCACAAAGTAACAAAACATTCAGTTACATTGAAAAGAGTACCACAATTTAATATACCTTAGTTGATTATACTCCGTATATGTAAAAAAAGAGAACACTGAGAAAAACATGGCCATTTATTTACAAGTACAGAGTGTGTAAAAACAAAACCTAAGTCCAATATCTTATTCAAAATAGTATATTTGCTATATAATCAATAAGCTAATGAAAATATAAACACTCATCTATTTACAGAGAAAAATAAAAATTAGCCACTAATTTCTTTGTACACTAAATTTTAAATTGTGAGGAAAAACTCATAAGAAAAAAGTTAAATAAATGGGTTCAAAACAGACTTTAGGGTGATGCTGCTACAGCATGGGCCTTCTCGGGTGACCAAAAGGCAAAGTAGATCTGAGCCCTGTCCCTGGTACCTCTAAAAGCTTGACATGTGTCTCTTCTATCCTACCCTGGTGCTTTTTACACAGCTCAAGCACTGAAAGCTTGTCAGCTCTGTGATGAGAGTCAGGCCAGGCCACAGTGCAAGAACATTTTTGCAAGGTGATGGTGCCAAGAGCAAAGACTTGGCATGTCTGGATTATGTAAACCACCAAGAGAATGCAAACCTCAGAGTCAGGATACTGGTTCACAAGAAGACAAAATCCTTTTGAAATTGTGTCCATGACCAGTAGAAAGTAGCAGATTAACCCTCTGTAACAAATCAATAGAACACTTGCCCTCCTTTTGTTCAGTAAGCAGTCTGGTCAGCATGCCTCAGCAGGTACAGGGGATTGTTCCCCAGGCTTCACAATCTCAGGCTGATCCACCGTTGTTCTCTCACTTCCACATGTGTGCTAGGGCACATACCAACACACACACACACACACACACACACACACACACACACACACACACACACACACGGTCGAATTTTTAAATATATAAGCACAGTCAAGTTATATACTGAGTCATGCTATCCTAAAATTCCTATTTTGAAGCCCTAGTCCCAAAATGTGACTGTATTCCAAGAGTGTGCCTTTAAGAAGGGGAAGCAAGGTGAAGTAAGATGCTTCATGTGTAGTTAACACAATACAACTGGAGTCCTTGCAGCAGTGGCAGCAGCAGCAGCACTCAGACAGCAAAAGGACCCCATGAATAGGCCAAACCTCAAGCCATGGGACCAGACCACAGAGAGGCAAAATCGGCCAACACCCTGATCTGAATTCCAGACTCCAGAACCAAGAGAAATTAAGTTTCTGTTGTTTAAGCACCGAACATGGAATTTTGTTACAGCAGCCCTGGGAAGCTAATACAAGGCAACACATGCCATTTATTTATATAAACATTCTTGATTCTCTATTAACCCATTTTCCAGAAGAAGTAAATCAAGAAAACGACACAAACTTTTTTCCTTATATAGAGCATGATATAAAGGTGACAAAAACCACATTTCTAGACAAAACCTTATCATCTGACATTAGTAGGAAAGAAGAACTGAGGAATGGGCCTAAGAACATGATGCTACAGGCTACGACTGATTAAAAGCAGCTGAGAGAGTTTAGAGTAACTGTTGAGAAGCTCTGAACACAGCCTGGAAGAAAGCATTTTAACTGCCTTCTCCTTATGCATTCATGAGCTTTCCTAAACTTCAAATGGCATTGCATGTGTGTACATGTGTGATTGTGTGTGTGTGGTGTGTGTGTGAGTGTGGTGTGTGTGTGTGTGTGTGTGTGTGTGTGTGGGTGTGTGTGTGTGGGTGTGTGTGTGAGTGTGGTGTGTGTGTACACATACATCCTTATAGAAACACAACTCAGGAAGCAAGTTCAGTCCACTGAGAACATGCTCACTTAAGAAGACACCTTTCCCAAGCTTCTGTTTGGCGCCTGCTCGATTAACATGTGAAGTTCTTTTTGCATAAACTAAGACACAGGTATCTTTGATAATTTTCAGCTGAGTTTCAGTGCATATTTTAAAAATCGATCTTCTAGTTTCACACTAACAAAACTGAATTTGCAGTTGTTCTGCCTTTTCAGGGTTACCTTATCTGGATCCATCTTTCCTCTGATAAACTCTTGCTTCCAGAACTGCAAAGCCTGTTCCAAAGTTAGGCCAATGCCCTTCAGGAACAGGCCATACTGCATCCGGCCTCCATGACGAAGATGGTGATTCTCCCTCAAAGCCTTGTGCAACTGACGCATGCAAGGTGGGAAGGATTTGGTAGAAAGCTACAAGAAAAAAAAAGCAAGTTTAGTTAATGGTGAAGATATATTAGATCCCCATTTACATTTGTAAAATTGATTTAGTCAGAATAAAGAACTTAAGTCATAGAAACCATTGCTATATTAGAGACTGCAAACCAGACTGTCTTGTGATTTTACATTGATTAAAAATCAAACTGACAACACTTTGAACATAGCAGATTATATAATAATAATGCCAGTTTCCCTGCTTTGCTCTTAGGTTTCTCTTTAGATGCTAGTAATACAATGTATACTAGCAAGAAGTAACACAAAGAGATGGTGTGTCCCCAGTTTTCCTCAAATACAAAGTCTTGCCAGGCAGGCAAATTCAACACTCACAGGTCCTAATGCTCCCCCAGATTCCCACAGTTGTACATATTCTTCTGTATACACATTTCAGCATGTGGGGGCTCATACTTCACCACCACAGGATGCAGAATGCAGAGTGTCAGGATGCAGAATGAGTTCATCACCACGAGATCCTGATTTCCTGTTTGCATTCATTTAGTACACATGTGTGCACACACGTGAATTTGTGTGTGGAGGCCAGAAGTCAACATTGGCTATCTTCCTCTTTTGCTCTCGCTGAACATGGAACTCACTGTCCAGCACAAGTCTCTAGGGTTCTCGTGTCTCTGCCTCCCCAGTGCTGGGATTGCAGGCCCACACCATCACAGGCAGCTTTTTATATGGATGCCAGGGGCCCAAATGCAGGTCCTCATATACAGCAAGCATGTCACCGACGGAGCCACCTCACCATCCCCTCTTCTTTCTGTTTCATTTCTGCTTGCTGCGCCCTGCTCCACCCCCACCTCCCTCAGATCTCAGCATTTGGAAAGAGCTAATCTGTTCATTTTTGTAACATTGTTATTTCAAGACAATCAGCTAAACAAAAATCACACAGTATTCCATGTGTGAGGATTGGCTTGTTTCTAGTTCCTCATGCTTGGTTCATGGCTCTCCTGTGACAACTCAAGGAAGGTCAATGACCAGGCACAGCTATGGTTTTTGAGCCACGATTTATTTAACCATTTGCTCAATGAATAGCATTAGGTTGTTTGCACCTTTTTATGACAAGCGAAACTGCTGTGAATATTCTTAGAGGGTTTATGTGGACATAATATTCCATTTTTCTAAGAAAAAGTTCTGAAAATATAATTGCAGAGTAGCAAATTGATTCATAATGTAAAATAGACATAAAGTAGAGCACAAAATGAAGAGAAAGGGTTTCAAAAAGAAAATTCAAATAAAAATGTTTAACCAATAGTTTAAAAATGCAGGTCTTTGTTTGGATGTCAAGAAGTATCATTGCTTGGTTTTTAATTCAACTTTTTTCACTTACGATCTCAACCTCATTCCCTCTAACTTACTCAAATACATTCTTCCTCCCAGAATGTGAGTTCTCTCACCAGGACAGACTTCCTGCTCACCCTGTGAGGAGGACCAGGTCTCGCTTTGTTTGACTTTGCTGCTCCCTCTAGTGACTACCTAATGTCTCTCTGTAAAGAACAACTAAATCCTATTCTAAAACTGACCCAAACAGACCACTATATTCCTGTGTAGTAACGAACAGAAAGCCTTTTGGTTCATTTTAACATGACTACTTTGGTTCTCTCTTAATTAAAAAAAAAAAAAAAATAGTGAAAAAAATGTTCAAAGTCCTTGGTGTAAGCCCACATCATCCCCTAATGCCTGCCAACTTTTCAGTTATATATAATAGAACAAACTGTATTCAGTATTTTAGACAACAAGGTGGCAAAAGCACAGTTTATTCAGTTCAGTAAAGGAACAATACGATGACTATTGTACCACCGTTGCACAAACCAAATCCGCACAATAACTTAAATAATGAAGAATGAAACAAGGGCACAAGTCAAATGCCGTAGAAGCCCGATAGAGATTGAGAGCTGATTTGTCACTGCAGCAACAAGATTTCTGGTTGAGTCATGCTTACACATTTCCACTCTGCTGACACTGTCTGGTGTACTCTCATGTGATCTATCTATAGCAGGCAGTCCCTTGAGACACAATTCAGCCTCTGTTTTCTTTATTACAATTCCCCAATTCCTCTATTCTCAACCACCAAGCATTTATTGAACATTTATAGTGTGTGCAGCCCTCACAACTGCCAGTGCAGAAAGAGTCACAGATCCTCTCTTGGAGCAGCTTACACTCTGATGCAGACACAATGGGCTTGGGAGTAAAAAAGATGTCAAAGTCCACGAATACAGCAGCAGTGGGATTGAGTGTGATGAGGAGAGAGAATGTTGGAAACAGACGCGTCTATAAGGTAAACAAACCACACTTCAACTCAGACATGTATTTCAGTGACGATCCAAGAATACCAACCATGTTATGAAAATTAAAAACTCTATGAAGGAATGAATATGGTGTATAAGAAAGCAGTGATGAAGTAGAAGACAGGCCATAAACACCAGAGGGTTTGACGATTTGATAAGGAACTTGGGCTACTACACTCTAGAGAGACAAAGCAGCAGAAATGGAAGTAGGAAGAATGCATAAAAGAACCTAATGACTGTCCAAAGGATGGAAATGAAGACAGTCAAGCACAGGATTGGCCACTAAGCCAGGGAAATGGAAATGGAGCCCAGAGAGAAACTGGAAGAACAAAATATGGGATGCTGCAGAGGACAATGACAACAGATGAAGTGTTGTGCAAATGAAATCATCAAGGATTAGGGACAGGGTCAGTATTGAGGGAAGTATCCATTCTATGTCATGATCCCAGGGCTTTAAAGAAGTTGGAGTCCTGACAAGGAAAGTTCAGAAGAGGTTGTGTAAACTAAGAAAGACACTCACTCCATACAGTCCCCATTTGAAAAGGGACACGGGGACAATAGTGGCACTGACAGTTACAGATTTCAGTTATACAACAACCTAGAAGGAGCAGTCTATGACCAACAAATATACACTGATGGCATGTGCTGTAGGGATGAAGCAACAGAGTCAGTGAGCTTCCAAATGAAGTTAAGTCCCAGGCACAGTCCTGACAAGTGATTTTACAGGGTGATGCTCATTTGCTATGTTGCCTCTTTCACCCAGGTAGGGCCCAAGAAGGTATAGATATTCTGTTAAACTCAGCTCTGTATTCACACCCTGTGGCTGGTACACAACTGATGGGCTCAGTTTACATCTATTACATGAATAGGTGAGTACAGTTCTTGGTATTCCCACAGTTCACACTTGCTGACAAAAGGTGAAACACCTGGCTAGAGGTAGGAATGGAATTAACTCCAACTATTCATGTAATATAAAGTGAACACATGGAGAAATGGAAAAGCGATAAGAGACCATTAAGGTGAAATAATTATTTAGAGGAAATTAAAAGATGACACATCTTAAGAGCAAATCTGAAACCAACTACGTTGTTATTTCCAGGCATATTAACTGTTAAGTACTAGATTATGATTTGTCATGAGATAATCTATTCATTCTGATCTGTTTCCAGTAACTTTATTGTAATTCTTATATTCTAGCATTAAAATCCTGTTATATTTTTCAATGGGGAACTCTTAGTCCCCAGACTGATAGCTGGGAAACCAGCATGGGACTGATCCAGACCCCCGGAACATGGATTTCAGTGAGGAAACCTCGGAAATCTAGGGGACCTCCTGTAGTAGTTCAGTACTTATCTCTAGCATAGGTGTGGACTTTGGGATCCCATTTCACACAAAGGGATACTCCCTGAGCCAAGACACACGGGGGTGGACCTAGGCCCTATCCCAAAGGATACGATAGACTCTGATGACCCTCTATGGAAGGTCTCACCCCCCAGGGGGAGCAGAAAGGATATGTGATAGGTAGGGTTTTAGTTGGCAGGGGCGCTGTGGGGGAGTAGGGGAGGGAAAGGGAACTGGGATTGACATGTAAAACAATTTTGTTTCTAATTTTAAATAAACAATAATAAGAAAATCCTGTTATATTTTTAATTTTTAAAAGTAAAGTAGTAGCTGTAAATAAAGATTATTTATAGCAGGCGTATTTTTTTCTTTGTGAGATAAAGTCTACATTCTACAGTGGATTAAAAAGAAATTCTGGAAACTGAAGTGTAACAAAGTGCTTTTGCTGAGGAACTGCAAAGTAAACTAAGGCAGAAATGAAGCACGTGATAATGCAGCCTTCGTTGGTGCTAGTGAGTGCTCCTGGGGAACTGCACCCACATTTACATATCAAAGTTTTAACCAGTACCCAGAGTTCAACTATATTTAGAACGAACCCTTAAAAGAGGTAACTAAGTTGCATGGGGTCATAACATTGTTAAAGGTGACTAGTGTACATACTAGAAGAGAAACAACCAGGCTATGTAGACCAACAGTGGGAAACGCATACCAAGAGACAGGAAAGCAGTAGTCTATAAAGCAAGGAGGAAGGCTCCAGGAAACCTAGAGCTTGGGCTTCAACCCTCTGGCTATGAGGAACTATCTTTCTGATACTTAAGTCACCAATCTGTGGCATTTTGCTATAACGGTTTTAGCTAACAAATACACATCATTTCTCCTTTTCTAAATGTGTGCAGTATTTAAGTGTAAACATATAAACAGCACTCAAGGGTTGTTATTTAAAAGAATTCCATTTTCCAATAATCAAATTATTTTTTTTAATTGTGAACAATTTCCCCTTAAATTTGGTTTTCTTACAATTAAGATAAAATCATATACATAAAATATGATCAGAAGCAATGGGGCACTGCTCTCCCATCTTCCCACCTAGGGTCTCCAGTTGAAACATCTGCTTTAACACGGGCTTAGTGCTTACCGAGTCAATCTGATCTAAGGAAATCTTCCCAGGGTTCTTCTGGATGCTGTAATCTTGGCCAGTGTAAGAATGACTGAAAAACAAGCAGAACAAAATGGGATCTGTAGAACGCTTTTATCTCTTCAAAAAGAATTTTTGTTCTAAGATCAAAGTTAAGACGAGAAAACATTTTACACATGAGCCTCGGCAGAAAGCCAAGTACTTTAAATGTATTCAATAAGACATATACAACAAATTACTTACAAGTAATACACAATAGAGTGCCAGCCTGGATTTCCAGATTCCTACCCCAGGGCACTGCTTTCATTTCTTACAAGCATAATCCATACAGTAAAAGTTTAAACCTTATTTAAAAATCACTGCAACAGAGCGAAAACGAAAGGAGAGCTTGAATGAGAAATCACTCCTTGACCACCAATCCCTGGACATGTCATCTGGCCTGCTGGCACGCCATGTGCCTTCTGTTGAGCGGAGATGATGGTACCTATGTTCAGTGCTGACATAGGATCCAATTGGAAATCAGTTTTGTTAAAGGCCTGATACACAGTAGTAGTTGCCATTCATTAAAATATTTAACAGTGCTCAGTGAGAAGGAATCTCCATGCACATTCTCTAATTAACTCCTCACATCCATTCGGGGAGAACACTTAGTTTACACAGCAAGTGAGATTAGCAATGTGTTAGGATCAAGACTGCCATGTAGTCAGATGCACACTTGTCTCTTCATTCTATTTCTTTATGACACTGTCATCCTCTTCCCATAATAAATGTCTTCATGCTGTTATTTACAAGTTTGGAAACAAGTTGATATGAACTACCTAAAGCCATTCATCTTTTGCAGTTTTTCATATCCTTGACAAAATCTACTATCCATGTCCAACCCCATAAACAAAGATCCCATTGCATTCTGTTTGCTATGTCACATAGAAAAATATATCCAGTCAACCCATGGCTTATACAGATACAACTAAGAAAAATTCAGGAGAGAATTCCAGACTCTCTATTTCATATCCACTAAGTACAGACTTTTCCACAGAACTACACACATGCTCTTCAAGAAGCTGCTGTTTCCACAGTCAGTTAATTCCATCGATTAAACAACAGGTATGAATTATGAAACAAGCCTGTAGTAGTGTGTTGGGATTCTGCAAGTACCCTATGAGACCGTCAAGCGTAGACCCTCCTCTTCTGTTAAGTAATGTGTCATTTGCTCTGTCATACTCCATCAAAGATATTAACATGATGCATACAGAGATCATGTTAAGTAAAACCCACAGCTGTTACTTTAATGATTTACACTGTTTTGGCAGATTTATGTATGTAGAGTGTAAAGTGTATGAAGGTTCACACATATGAGGGTGCTCTTAGGTATGTGTGTACACATGTGTGAAGGCCAGAGGTAATGTCAGCTGTCTTTACCTATCGTTCTCTACCTTATTTGCTGAGGCAGGGTCTCTCACCGATCTTAGAATTCCCTGATGGACCTAGTTAGCCAGCTTACCCTGGGGAGTCCTTGTCTCCATTTTCCAAGAACTGAGATTACAGGTGGCCACCATGCCCAGCAGGCCTCAGTTTTTTATGTGGATGCTTGGCGTCTGAAATCCAGTCCTCATGCTTACACAGTAAACATTTTATCCATTTAACCATCACCCTGGCTCCTGTTTTCCACTCTTATACAAGCATAAAGGACCATTATTTCCTTTATGAATAAAAAAACTACTTTACTTCCCCAACTTACAGCAGAACAAAGAAGCACCACAGGGCAATGGCTAGCAGAAGGCTGCAAGTCTGAAGACCTTTCTTATTTCGGGTTTTAAATCACTACTTATACAACTGGAAGAGTCAATTATCCTGATTTGCCATCATTCTCATTTGTAAAATGGAAGTATTGATGCCAGACTTGACTAGAATTTCTAGAGAAAGAAAATGATATGGCTTATTCAAAGTGCTAATTAAAATCAGTAATGTATATTCCAGTTCAACAGAGCAATTACAATCTTTACCAGTAAATAGGAGGCAGTCAGTAAGGCAGTCAGTATGAGCCTACAGGAGACATCACCTGGCTCTGCACTAGAACAGGCCTTTGACCCTGTAAATCTCAATATTCAAATGCATAAATAAAAACGGTGATTGCAATCATCTAAAAGAAATGTTCAAATCAACTATTAACAAATACACAGGTAGTGGTAAAAATTATATACAAACGTAATTATAGATGGTTATCAATAAAACACAGTCAAATAATTACTTCACCACAGAAGCTTGTCTTGGATAGATTAATGCAGCACAATGGGTTTAACAGAATACATACAGAAGCACAGGCAGAGCACAGTAGCACACACCTGCAGTCCAGTAGGCTAAAGGGATTTGGAATTTGAGGCAATTCTGAGCTACACAGCATCGATGAAACCAGCAGAAGGGGGGGAGGGTTGATAACGACCATATACATTTGCCAAAAAATTGAAATCACTTGCATAAATGCATGATTCTAAACATTATTATACAAACAGGCTAATTTCCAAGAAAAAGAATAACAGGTAAAAGAATTACAACATAAAACCACACAGAAGATAAGTACAGCATACACATCAAACTCCCAAAACAGAAAGAGGCCATTAGCTACATATAGCCAAACATGGAATCCACTGGAGGTAATGACAAAAATGGATATTAGAAATGTGATTTCTCTTCTCCTCTGTGATAAAAAGGGATTGTCTATGTCTTGACGAATAAGGAAGGCCTGCAGATCCTCTTAAGTATTTTTTAGTACTACTTAAGCTGGGTATGACAGACAGAGATGGCACAGACAGTGTAAGAGCTACCGCACCCAGACAAATGATGAGAAAGCCTTGGATCCAATGCTCTGTAGGCAATGAAAAACCTTGAGAATATCCAAAGGTCAAACTGACATCATCAGGTTCACACTTTAAAAAGCAGAGTGAAGAAAAACGAGTGGAAAAGAGAGGAACTGGACAACAGAAAATCACTATCTGGAAGAATATTTTAGACAATATTTTAGGCAATTGCTAGGCCAGCAAAGGTGAGAACTTGACTTATCTCAATAGATGAATCCAGATTTTTCAGGAAAAGAACAGATAGAGCTTAAGGGGGAAGACAGAAGAGTCAAGAATCATAGGGAATTTATAGCTGAGTTACATGAGTGCTTCCAAGACACAAATTCACCTTCAAAAGAGAAAACCTATTTTAATGAAATAAAATAACTTCAAGTATAAACTTTAAAAGAGCTCTGCTCAGGCCAGTGAGTTGGCTCAGTGAGTAATGAATGACAAATGCCTTCAAGCCCAATGGCCTGAGTTCAACCTCTGGGATCCAAATGGTGAAATAAAGGACTAACTCCTGAAAGTTTTCCTCTGTCCTCCACACACACAGACAGGAAACAAACAAATGGAAAACTACGAATGCCCAGCCTCCAATGTGGTGCCATGTTGAAAGCTATGGAACCTTACCTAGAGAGGGCCTGACTGGAATTCATTCATCACTAAGGGTGGGCCTGGGAAGGTTATACCCGCCTCCCCACCTCCCCACCTCCCCGCCTCCTCACCCCCAACCTGGGCCCAGCTCAGGGTCTCTGCATCCTGGTCCAGCAGGGTGCTAGGAAGCTCTCCCACATGCTCTTGCACCATGAGCTCTGCCTTGCCTTCCCTGAAACACTAAAACCATGAACGGAAATCAAGGTTCACTATGAAGTTGTTTCTGCCAGGTATTTTTGGTCCCAAGAGATAAAAGTAACTAACTTCACTGCTTAGGTCATTGGAGTGTTTCCAGGCCCGACTTTCCTGTTTTCTTATTGCGGAACACTGACAGCAACTCAAAAGATCAAAACACAAACAAAAATCAAATAAGCAATACTGCCACAAAGAATAAAAATACTTAGCCGGGACGTAGTGGTCCTTGTCTTTAATGCCAGCACTTGGGAAGCAGAGGCAGGTGGATCTCTGTGAGTTCGAGGCCAGCCTGGACTACAGAGCTGGATCTAGGACAGCTAGAGCTGTTACACAGAGAAACCCCGTCTCAAAAAAACCAAAAAGAGATAGATAGATAGATAGATAGATAGATAGATAGATAGATAGATAGATAGATAGATAGATAGACAGACAGACAGATAGAATGAGAGGCCTATCCTGGCACTCACTCTGGAGACCAGGCTGGCCTCGAACTCAGAGAGATCCACCTGCCTCTGCCTCCTGAGTGCTGGGATTAAAAGCGTGAGCCACCAATGCCTGGCAAGAATGAGAGTTCTTAACAATTCCTACTAGCTCATGAAATAGCAGCTTTGGCTTTTACAGGGAGTGCCAAAGAGATGCTTCTAACGGAGGTTGTTGCAGGTAATCAAGAAATGTGAGCACATCTCTACTATATCCAGAGAGCTATCAACTTCATTATCATAATGCTTCTAACTGAAAGCAGACACTATATTGGGTACTCTGTGTATTCTCATTTTATGATTTTTAAAAATGCATCCACTTTATAAATATGTCATAGTGATTATATAAAACAAAAAGAAATAGTAACAGCAATTTTTCCTTTTCTATTATTTTTTAACTGTTGAGAGTGTAACATAATTGCATCATTTTCCTCTTCCCTTGTCCCCTCCAAACCCTCTTATATCTACCTCCTAGCTTTCTTTCAAATTCATGGCTTGTTTTCATTAATTGTTAGATAACAGCAAATTTGTTAAAAATAATTTTAGTAAGAGACACACATGCAGATCCAATAGAAAATATTCATTCTGAGGCTGATTCATGGTCACCACCATTCAGTTTTCAACTGAATAGTGAATCAACGAACATAAAAGCTATTTTATTCCTAACCTTATCACAATAAGTCATTTCTTCCAAACACAGATTTTAAAAATCATTTTAATGGTTCACTAAATTCATATTGTATCTCTAATCATTATCTTGCCAAATATAAAGAGGAATGTTTGATTGACTAGTCAGAGAATCATGAAAACGGTTCTTTTATTTCTTAGCTGACTTACCAATTTGCCATAAATATAAAAGGAAAAAGACAAACTATACACCAGTTGGTTCATTCATAAATACAAGTGGT